AGATCAAAGTCAGAGTGGCAGAAGACAGAGACTCGAGCAGCTTCCTTAAAACAAAGTATTTCATATTTGGCAGGAATTACCGCAGTGAAAAAAGACAAGGTGACTTTCTAATATATATATGTATTTTAGTTTGGCAGAGAGCTGAAGAGCTAAAAACTAATTTAGGACGACATAAACGCTCTTCGCTCTCTCCCCCTTCCCTTCCCGACCACGTGGGGTGTTTTTGACGGAAGCTTGGAGCAGGCTAAGTATTGTTTGCAACTCAGGGATGATAGACTGGGTCCTGCGTCACGTGGAACCATTGTGTGGACTCATCTCTCAGAATTTCTAGGATGATCTGGATTTTAACAGCAAAGTCACACACTTCTTCGATGTGGGGTACCCAAGAATAACTTCTATGCCTGGAATCTAGTTCTCTGTTAACCTGGGATGAGAGAGCAGTGAGGTCACTCGATGACCCAGCAGTGTTCCCACCTGTTGAGAAATCAACAAAGAAGGCACTGGGCACTGAATAATATTGAAAAATGGGTGATGAGGGTGCAAAGAAGCCTGGGTAGGTGAAGGCAGTGTGCTAAGTTGCTCTGGTTCACCTGGGTTGGAGCAGTGTTTCAGGAAGTCTAGTTGGAAGGTATACGATTGCATTTGTGTGTAACTAGTGAAAAATGTGGCTTGCTTTTCTTACTTTTTGTTTTGGGTCAGAAAAACCAGATACAATTATTCATTACCAAATAGGATGTTGAGGTCAGAAAATATGTCACCCACCCTATTTTCAGTGGACATAGGGCTGGACTCTTGTCAGTCAGAAGACAATTTCCTGAAAGGTACTCTTGGGAAATGAGAGGTAACGGAATCGAGCAAGGATTGACAAATTAAGGCCCGTAGGCCAAATCCAGTTTGCCACCTGGCTTTGTATGGCATATGACTTAGGGAATGGCTTTACATTTTACATGGTTGGAATCAAAAGGAGATTTCATGACACGTGAAAATTACATAAATGTCCATCCAATTCCAGTGGTCTTAATTCAAGTGTCATGGCGCGTGGCCATGATTTGTGATGGCAGATCTGGTAGTCATGACAGAGACTGCTTATCCAGAGAAGCATGAGTATTTACTATCTGGTTCTTTACAGAAAACAGTTTGCTGACCCCTGTAACAGCAGATTTCTGGGAAGGCAGAAACAGGAGGACAAGTAGGAGACAGGGAGCACGTATAGTCCCTATCTATTGTGTTACAAGATGACTCAGAGCCAGACGAGGCAGTGTGACTCTACAATCCCAGCTACTCAGGAGGTGGAGATAGGAGTATCAAGCTCCAAGGCTGGACTAGGAAAAACTGTAAGACCCTTATCTGGCTTGTCTAGCAAGCACAAAGCCCTGAGTTCAATCCCCAGTACCAAAAGAAGGTGACTCTGGGAGGACAGAAACCAAGTACTCTTTCTTGATGCCGAGGACAGGATTGGCTAAGGTGAGTTAATGCTACAAGAAGAGCCATTGAGGTCTCACACAGTGCTTGAGAACTTGACTGACTACAATCTTGAGGGGCAGTCATGAAAACACACTGAGAATCACTAGTCCAGGGAGGCCTGGCCTGGACATGAGAGACCTCAGCTTGGCCTGCAATTAACCAGCCATGTGACTAGCCTCTCTGGGCCCGGGGACTGATGCTTATCAAATGAATGTAACACCTAGCTGCTATTGGCGTGTATGTTGGTTACTGAGTATGCGACTTAAATGGAGTAGTCATAAAAGTTCTGTGAATGGAAATTGTCCTCGTTTGAAGCCATGGATTGGTTCTAACCAGTTGTTATGTATACTACGAAGATAAAAGCATGGTGTATTTGATATAAAACAGGTGAGAATACCCACACTGGTTACTCCAGCTGCCCAGGGAAGAGAGGCAGCTTGCATTCCCCAGCCAATTCAGCTAAGCCAGAATTCTCTAGGAGCTGTTTGGGCCGGGGGCTGGGTGACATGCAAAATGGCATGCTGCTGCCTCATGTGGGTTTCAGAGTATTTTATTCCAGGGTGTTTTATACTGTGAGACTTTGGAAGAGAACATCATAGAAGTTCTCTCACCCAGTTGCAGAGGCAGGGACTGGAGTGGGGGGAGCTTTCCTGAGTGGTGAAGACCTGGGTCTTCCAATTTGCACAAAGCCTGGCATTCTGCTTTCCTACCCACCCACACGCCTGGATGCATGGGAGAATATGTCATGGGCTGACATAATTCCAAATTGCTCACTTCTGGAAAGCCTTCTCTCTGCGGGTTTGAACATGCAAGAAAGATAATTTGACCTATTTGTCACAGTGCTTGGCACTGCCTGTCTGTAGGTGTCCCAGAGCTGGCTGATGCTTCAATTTCAGGACCTGTCCTGTTCTAGTAGAAAGGGGAGCCATGTGTGGACCAGAGTGGACTCAGGCCTTAAAAATGCCACTTGCTTTAAAAAGGGGATTTTGGTTTTTATGCTGTCCGGAGGTTTGCTTTTAGGCAGGTGCAATTCTTGGCTGTTCTCAACAACAATTCGTGTTTGCAATGCACTGCCTTTGCCCCTGCAGCTTCGTAATTAATGATATACTGCTTTTCATCTTCAAAGTGATTTATACACATTAATTAATCCTCACTGCACTTCAGAGTTTCTGAGTGTAAATAACCACCATGCCCCCATGTTGTATGTAGAAAACCAAGACTCAGAAGGCAACGAGTGTGTCAGGGCTAAGGAGAATGGGATCGCTGAGGCCGAGGTCCACACTTAGGGTCCTGACCCTCATCTCGCCATGGACCTGTGGTGGTTCTGGACAGCCGCTCACAGTAGCCTTATAGCTCCACCTTCACCGCCATCGCTGCTGGGTAAATTGGCCTGTTACATCACTCATTTGAGTCATAAACTATTTTTCAATACTCCAGGGTCACAGCATAATCTTACTGACAGCACATATAATGGGATGTGATGGATTATAAACTAATAAGCTATCCTAAGATGATCAGGTCCGGCTGCCAGGAGCCTCCGGCCTGAGGATAAATATGCTTCTTAATCCATCACTTCCAAGTTATACCCGATTAAAACATTGAACTCTCACTATACAGTTTCCCATTTATACACACGGCCTTACGGAAAGCTATTATATTTTAACTATCAAGCTCAATAGATCAGGTGCTCGTCATCTATCTCTCCCCTGCAAGTGGAGTAGGAGGCGCCCTGGGGACGCCATTGGCAGAGGACAGCAGGGCTTCAGCTTCTCTGTCTGGGCTCCCCATGGTGCCTCCTGGCCCAGCAGAACATTAAGCCTGAGAAGGGAGCACACAGAGCCTTTGTGGAGTTTCTGACAGAAGGCCAAACCACCCAAACACCCTACAGGCACATTCAATTAGCTTCCACCGAGCCCCAAACAGCTACCTGGGGAGACAGACAAAACTTCCTCCAACAGTCAAGGGCCTGAGGGGGCCACAGATGTCCTCCTCCCTCCCTCAGTCAATCCATTTCTGTATCCTTCATCAAGAGGGAAGTGAGAAGAAGTGACTTGAAATTAGGGGTGCTTGGGTGTCAGACCCCAGGCCCTACATAGTGCTGAGGCTCAGAGGACAAAGGCTTTTGCAAAGAGCCAGGTAAACATGGCGCCCTTCCCTGGAGTGTCAGCGTTCTCATTTTGGGAGGACATTCCTGTGCATATTTTTCCATATCAAGACAAGCATAGCTACACTGCGAGTGAAAAACATATAGTGATTTTGGCTTATGTTGGTCAGCCTTGGGCGGGGCCCCAGACTTCTAGGGCTGTATCCATACAGCCCTCCGCCATCAGGCAAGCTTAGGTCAAATGGCTAGGGAAGAGAATGCTGGGCCAGTTGCTTCTTTGGCCGGCACTGCGCTGGCTGCCTAGGAAGTGTGGGAGCTGCCACTGCAGAGCGAGAAGGGAGGGCTTCTTGTGGGGAGAAGCAAGGCCAGCCTCGTCTGGGTTGCTTTGTCTTTTCTCCTAAATGGGAGGATTTTAGCATGCATGTTGGGAACTGTTTTGGAGTCAGTCTCTTTTCGCTGGTGTTTTATTGGTTTGCTTTACAACACGGCACAGCCAAACTGGGGAGATCTGTCATAGCCGCCCTGAAACCAAGCCAGAACCATCAAGTGTTTCAAATCGACTTTACCAAACGTCACCGTGGCCTCTGCCTGGGCCAGGAGATCTGCCGTTGGCATGCTCATAGAGCAGCAGTGCTGGGGCTCTTTGTCAGGCCCGGTTGCTGTGAGCAGGCTTTGTGTCCAGCCCAGGATGCTCTTATGTGTGTGGCACCCTGCCCTGAGCACCCAGCATCTGCTGCACCCCGTGGATGTAAACCAACATCCTTGGCATGGGAAAAAAGGTCTTCGGCAGCCTCACCAACCTGCTCCCCGATGTCGCTCACTCAGTCACAGCTGCCATGAGGCGCCAACCTGATTGAGATGGAGTAGCAGGGGTAGGTGAGAGTTAAAGTTCAGGGGACCAAGGCAGAGGAAGTGACAAGGGCAAGGGCAACCGTGTCTGAGCCATGCTCTACCCTCCCAATCCTATTTTTATCACAGCTCCGGAAATAAGCTTGCTAGCTTGGCTCTCTCCCTAGTCAACACGTTCACAGGCAGGCCGACCCTATTCTTCTGTTCAGTTTCTGGCTAAAGTGAACCAATGGTGCATGAATCAGAGCATAGACCTGGTGAAAAGTCAATGACAGGGAAGTCAGGAAGATGACTTGGGTAGGAGGGACGGATTTGCACAAATGACAATTGTCAGCTCATCCCCTTCTTGGGGAGACAGTGAGGATGCTTAATTTTACTTCTGGAAAGTGTCATTTACAGTCACAAAGGAGAAACTCATCAGGTCTAAATGGATTTCAGGAGGGAAAATCACTCCCAGCCATCACTCATTGTGTTTTTATCAGTAGCCAACAAATGAATTGTACAGACAACGGAGCCCCTGCCCCCTCAACACCACTCCTATCTTCTCACCACCGGAATGGCAAACAAGGCTGCCTCCACTTACCTATGAAATACGCCAGCAGGATGGCCAGGAGGAGGGCCGCAGCAATGGCAGACAAGGCGGCGCATTTCCAGCTGCAGTACTTGGACGGCTTCTTCAGCTTGAAGGCCTTCCTGGAGAAGGTGTTCCGGGGCAGCAGGCGGGGCGGTGGGGTGTAAACGGTCCCTGAGGTCAAGGGGTATCCCGGAGAAGAGCTGCTGAACAGGGGAGTGCTTCCGGATGAGGTCTTAAAGAGGAAGTGCCTGCCAGGAAAAGCAGAAGTGTCAGCAAGGCCTTGGGTGCCCAATGAAGGAGTGGTGGCTTTTCCTGTCACTCTCATTCCTGCCCAGTCTAGAGCTAATGAACTTATTTTTACCCCATGGCAGGGAAAAGGGGCAAACACTACAGTTGGTGGTGACATAGATGAATCCCATACATGTGCATCTAGATTTTATCTTCCCCACAATCCTGCCAGGTCCTCAAAGCAACGATGCAAAGAATTACTGTCACTCACTCAAAATGATGACAATGATGGTGATATTAGGTATTATCACATATTATAGACTTGCCACTGAAAAGCATTTGAGATACATTGTCAAAACTATTCACAAACGAAATATTATAATATCCCAATTTAGATTGACAAATCAGGTTGGGAGAAGTGAGGCAACCGTCCAGGGTTTTAAACTCAGAGGTGTCTTCCGATGAAGTCTGTGTTCTTAACTGTTACCCTGAACGGTTCTGTTCTCACCCCGGCCTCCTAATCCTGCTTCCTGTTCAGAGACTGCTTCTCTAGTGATCATGGTTATTTCTTTAGAAACATCTTTGCTGATCACTTGAACACAGTGTCCTTGCTAGCCAGAGCGATGTGTGACAACCATAAGTATAAAGGAACACATAAAAGGGGAACTCATTCAGCGTAGAGAGCTTGCCTAGCATGCACAAAGCCCTGGGTTCCATCCCTAGCACCACAAGAAACCAAAACAAATAAAAAAAAGCACATTACCCCTCCTGGGTGGGGGCATCAGGGGACATAACTCCAAAGACACTCCAAGGACCATCAGTTCTGTAAGGCAGACTACTTTCTTCCACATGCCAAGGGTGAGATTTCAAATTGACTGGCTGTACTTTGTTGAAAGCACTGAGTTGCTTTCTAGGGAATATGTACTGAATTTAAGGCGTGGGCTAAGTGGACTCTGGAGTCTGAGCAGCTCATGGCCAGGGACTGTGTCCTATTGTATACTCTCTTCCCCCTCACATTGCCTGTACCCAGCTCAGAACCCACGAAGCAAGGGAGCCTTTAGCTAATGAATGAAAGGACTCCTCTCGTTATTTTGCAGTTCTGTTTGCTGCAATGCTAAGATTTCAAAGTGTTGACACGGGTATTTCCTTTCTCTTCACATTTTCAGTGGATGCAACTTCACTGACCACTTCACGTCAGTCACCATGCTAAATTGTTCACTTGCAAATATGCTACACATCAACCTCGTGACGTGTGCACTGTTACACTCCAGTTTCACAGATGAGAAAATCAAGCTTATAGTTAGCAAGTAGCATTGTTGGAGCCCAGGCTCTGCTCTGCCTAATTCATTCATCTTAAAAGTTCTTACCATACTGCCTCTACCACATTGCCTTTCCTGGGGGGCTTTAAGGCAATATCACTGTCATTACAAATATCTGTATCTTAGCTATGCCCAGATAAAACCTTGCAAGTATTTTATTTATTTATTTTCCTTGCAAATATTTCAATCCTTTATAGAGATCAAGTAAGCCATGACTGAGAATCATGGTAGAAAGTGTGGTCAGTGAAATGGTTAACTAGCTAATGTTAAAAGAGATGTTTAGACTTTCTTTGTACCATGCGTATCTCAACGATCTGAATAAAGCCTGGACGTCTGATGCAATAAATAAGGCTCTGGAGTCCTTGCTGTAGCTCTTTTTTAATGCAACTAATTAAAAAGAGTCCTTTGGAAGAGGAGGCCATAGGTGTGGTGCTCAACACAGCATTTCAGAGCAAGACAGACCTGGATTGGAGTCCTGGCAGGGCCATTCATGGACAAGCTAGCTCATGTAAGTTATCTAACCATGCTTTTCAGAGCCTCCATCTCCTCATCTGTAAAATGTGGCAGTAAGAGTACAGGTGCCACCTCTGTGGTTGTGGTGTGGATTATCCAAGCCCAGGCAGGAAAAGCACTTGACCAAGGTGTTTCTCCTAGTAAGTGGTTGGTAGTTTTTATTGCAATTCCTCAGAGTGACATGAATAGGGAGCCTGAGCTGTGCATTTTAATTTAAAGCTTGACAAATGTCGAACACACACCTGAAGAGCTTTCACACTCACTAAATGACAACCCACTGCTTATAACGACACATGGGCCCACACACAGCAGAAAGCTGGGGTGGGGAAGTAGAACTCTGCAACTTGACTTAGAATCCTATCAGGTTTATTGCTTGGCCCATTCTCCATGGGTGGATTCTGAAAAATAAGAAATCAACCAAAAACAAAGGAATTTGAAAACATCACAAGGAGTCATTAGCCAGTATCTAATAAAAATCTATGGCCACCACCTCTCGCTTCACTTTCTCTACCATCCTACCAGTTCCCACGGCCTCAGCCATCATGGCAGGTGATCTGGGCCTCCATTGCTGGACTCTATCCTGACTTTTAGAGCTGGACTCCTTTTGCGAGTCAGACATTGTGTCTTCAGAGATCCACATTACAACCGCACTCAGACTATCTCCTTCACCTCTCAAAGCCACTCCTCCTGTACTTTGGATCTTCCCAGATGTCTGTGAAACTCGCCATCTTCACCTCCTCCTTTCCTCTTACCTTCTCCCACTCAACACATTAAAAGACCACATCAGTTTCATTTCTGGAAGCTTCTCTCACTAACCTCCTCTTTAACTCTCCTGCTCTTCTTCTCCAAGTCACAAATGCCCCTGTGCCCCAGATTACAAATCCCTGATCTTCCTCCAACACTGAAAAGAGGACACCTGTTTCAGTGTGGGGCCAGGCTTCACCAGTCATCACCCAACGATTTACCCACCCCACTAAGCATGTATACCCAGCTCCCAGGCACCTAACACTTCGGCGACGCCAACAGAGGCATCTCAACAAGGCTGGTCATGCCACCATGCCTTCGTGAAGGCCGTGCGAGCCTCTTTTGAGTGACTTTTCTGTCCCTCCACACCCAACCTGCTCCTTTCAGCCATCGACCTGGGGACCTATTTTAACATCCCTTCCACCATGCTGTGTACTCATGAACCTATTCATCCATTTAGGGTGTGTATATCATATACGTGCATACATCACACATTCATACCCCAACCAGAATGTGGGCTCTGGGTACTGGATGCTTGATAGCTCTAATGTCTAAAATTAGTGCCTGGATATCAGTCATCTTTGTGGGCAGAAAAAAAAAAAACAGGAATATTTTCACAACAGGAGAACAAAGTGATGATTAAGAAGTTGAAACTGGCTTTAACTTTATTTAAAATCCTCTTTCCTTCATAAAGACAAGTAGAAGAAGGAAATAGCTATTGTATCTGACATGGGATTGCTTTAGGAGCTTGGAAAATTATTCTCTCAACGACTCACTCTTTTTCCATTCTTCCTTCTAAAAATGAAGTCATATCTTATGTCACCAGAAACTCTTAACTTTCTGCACCTTCCAAACATGTCCAGTTATAGTGAATATGCCAGACTGCTAGTAGGTACACTTGAAAATGTAAGTTTTGAATGCAGATGTCTTTTGGGTGAAATGTCATGAAGGCTTCAACCTACTCTCAAATGATTCAGCAAAAAGATCTGGATCTTTCTATATATAGATGGACAGAAAAAGCAAATGCACACAAATGATAGCAATTGTTGAGACTCAGTGGTTATTCTTTCACAGTACCATCCTTCCAGCATTTCTAAATGTTTGAAAATTTTCTTCAACGTTGGAAAAAGTGCAAGCCTTGATTCACCCAAGGACTGAAGTCATCCATCGAAGGAAAACATGAATGAAAAACAAAATGAAATGCAACATGAAGCAAGACCCAGGAGGCAGTAGTCTGGTCACATGTGACCAAGGGGACCAGGAAGGGTGAGCTGACTTCTGCTTTCTCCCTGGCCTAGCTATTACAAGAGCTTTCCTCCTCAGAGCCTGCTGTGTGCATTCCCAGGAATCATTTCTGATGTCCCAGCTGGGCTTCCCAGCAGTGGGTCATGGAAGTAGCTCAGCTCAGGACTCAGGCATCAGCAAAAATGTGTAGTTTCCAAATGCACTTGACATTTTTCAAGTACAACTCAATTGCGCTCAGAATTGGCCACTTGTGCCTCAGAAAGGAAAGGCAAATGAGGGGCCCCAAAGTGCTGTCCTTGGAGTTTGCCAACACTTGAAGCGAGAGAAAACCAGCCCTTGATGTCTGGCAAAAAATAAAAGAGGAGCCTGAAGCTTCTTCCTCTCCATGTGGGGATCAGGGCTTACATCCCAGCACGCAGAAGTCCTTGGGGCACAGATGTGATGCAGAATGGAACAGTAGGCAAAGAGAGGACCGATACCCTGTGTGCTCAGCTCCAGACCCCGGGTCCCAGTGATTTCTTAAGGATATGCTAATGGAGCTCTGCATGGTGTACATGCCTGTAATCCCAACACTTGGGAGGCTGAAGCATGGGGATTTTAAATTTAAATTCAGATTTGGCTACATAGCAAGGCCCTGTCTCAAAAAAACAAGCACGAAACAAAACAAAATTAAAAGAAAAGAATGAAAGAAGGAAGGAAGGAAATAAAGAAGAAAAGAGAAAAAGAAGAAAGAGGACGCAGCAATTCTTGCTATCACTTTTCCTCAAGTGAAAACGAGAACATTTAGTAAGAAGTGAGTGAGCAGATATAACAGCCTATGAACCACTTTCTCACGAGCCTCATGTCACAGCAAGGCCACGGATTTGAGGCAGAATCTAAGTAAACCAAGCTTTGGGTTCAAATTGGCTTAAAAATTGAGGGCACACTTTTTTTTTTTTTTGATTAAATAAGCAGGAAGATTTGAAAAGCAAGTGCCACAAGTGACAAACCCAGGCACGGCATCCACCAAGAAAGACCCTGACAATTTAAAAGTGTGAATTTTTATTTTACTTCGTGAGGCACAGGACCTCAACACATCCTTAGAGGAAGACCAAGAACTGGTGGTTGCTGATTTGAGAGGTTGACAAGGGATTTCTTTTCCTTCTTCTTCTTTTTCCTCAGTCAAACCCAAGTCAACTCAGTCACTAACCTCGAACTCA